CCCCCCCCCCCCGCCCCGGGCATGCAATTAGTAGTAGGTCAAGGTAGAGTTCAGGCGTCAACTTTTAAGCAGGTCTCCAAGGTGATTTCCATGCAGTGGGGACATGGCCCCTAACTGGAGCAGTCCTGCCCAAATCCACAAGTCCTTTGGTCAAGTTAATTCCAGTTTTTTATTCCATGAGCATTGCTGTAAATATCAATTCTGGGGAGGAAATATTTAGGAGTACTTTTAAACAAAAACATGTCACCAACTAGATTCTTTAATTTTCTCCCTAAGAAACTACCTATGAATTAAATGTATTTTTAACTTAAATTCTGGTTTGATTTCTATAAGAATTTTGGCAAAGAGAGAATTGTCCTTGGCCCTGGATTAGAGAATTATAAAGGAAATAAAGAGAGGGCTAGATCTAGTTAAAGTTTGTTTTACTTAGGTTTCTAAAAGCAAAGGAATCCCCCCTGCCTTCTTTTTCTTCAAGACTACAATACATTGTTATAACTGTAGTCATAATCTTGTACAATAGAACTCTTGGATTTATTCCCCCTATCTTGAACTTATCCCCCATGGGGGGGAATAATTGTCAAAGGAGGTTTTTTTTTTCTCAAAAAAAAAAAAAGAATGTTTACTGGTGAATAAAGCAATTTTCCTTTTTGATTCTCAGCTTCACAGTTTCTCTTTTCCTCTCCCCATTTCAATCCATAATAGGTATGCCTTACAAAAGTAGCAAGCAAAGGTATATGGTGGATGGACTTCATACATTTACATGAAATAGAAGAAAGGAACCTCTTAAAATTGCTTTAACTGGGCAGGGAGGGGGTAAAGGGGGAGAGTCTGTGGGGGTGATCTAACCAATGTACAATATAAACATATTTAGAATTGTCACAATGAATCCTCCCTGTACAATTAATATATTCTAATAAAAATAATATTAAAAAACAACACAAAACAATTTACCAATGGGGAAAAGAAAAAATGGAACAAAATTAACTTGGAAAGTTGTAAGAAAGAGCTTTCCTTGTCATTGAAACTAAGTTGCCAAGGTGCCCTAGCTCTAGCCCCATCCTGTCTGTCTGGCTCACAGTTGTCCTGAAAGACCATGGCATGGTACCCTTCATCAAGATCTTCCTGGATGATGAATGCTACCGGGGGCCTTCGCTCAGCATCTTGGAGCAGCTGTCAGTCATCAACGCAGAGGAGTACATGAGCATCATCGTGGGTGCATTGTGCTCCTCCACTCAGGGGGAGCTGCAGCTGAAGCTGGATCTCCTGAAGGTGATTTTCAGTCCTCTTTTGTGATTGGCTTTCCCATGGATAAACACAAGTGAGCTACATTTGTTCCTGAATTGGTTCGCTCAGTTGGTCACTGTGTTAGATAAGTAGTACACCAATCTAGGTAGTGTTCGCTGCTGCAACAAATGAATCCCATATCCTCAGTTGCCTGACACATTAGAAATTTCTTTCTTATGCAGCATGTAAGCAATGATTGGAGTTGTGGTAGCTATTTCCCAGCAATGCTGTAAACTATGAATCAGCAGTGACCAAATGGCTGCCTTGCTGACTCGATTTATTGAGCATCTACCAATGACTAGACCTGGAGCTGGAGTGCCTGGGACATACAGCAGAATGAGATACAGTCCTTGCCTTCTGGGAGCTCTGCAGCGTGGCAAGTGATGTGGTTACATGCCAGTGCTGTCTTCTTACCTGGAGGAAGGGTTGCAGAGGACAGTGTGTGGCTGGAAAGGCAGTAAAAGGCAGTCAAAAGTAAGAGGGCAGTGGGTACAAAGGGACAAGCAATATTCGGTTGTCATGGCTAGATAGCAGAGAGGAGTATATGTTTTTGTAATATTGCTAATAATTATCAAATTATATAATATAAAGAAATATAAAAATATCAACCCTGCTATACTTTCATAATTTTGTTGCATTTTTTTTCATTTCTTTTGTCTTTGTGCTTATGCCTTCTAAAAATTCTCTCTCCCTCTGTTTTTGTTTTATGCCATTCGAAGGAAGTAAATGTGACAACCTCCTAGGGTATGACCAGAACTTCTCACATCTGTGTGTAACATGACCCCAAATGAAACACATGCTCACATTTCCTTAACATGCCACACCCTATTTCCCTATTTTTGATGAATTAAAAAAGTACAAAGTTGTTCTGACTTCCCAAATTTGGTAAAAAAAAAAACAAAAACAACCTGACTGACTTAGTTAGGGGTATTTTTGTACAAAACCTTTTCAATCTGTAGGAAGTGGTGTTTGGGTCATTGTACCTACTTTATTTCTTCACAAAGGCAATGGCAGACATTGGTGTGAATGGTGCCTGTTACCACATGGCGGAAGCCTGCAGTTCTTGATGTGGCCAAGGTATCGTGAGTGATTTATCCAACAGTGACATCGTGACCTATAATTAGAATGTGTTTTACAGACAGGAACTCAAACAGGGCCAAAAAATTCAGTGAAAGTGATTTGTATGAAACCAAAAAGGTAAATGCCTTTTGAAAGGCACTGGAGTCCCATGAGTATGTAAGGCAAGGAATCTCTAAATCAGGCTATAAAGAAGGGTGAGAGGCATCAAGAATTAATGAGGGCTGGGTGGGTGTCTCCGTGATAGAGCCCTTGCCTAGCATGCACAAGACCCCTGCTTCCACCCATAGCAGGGTGGTGGGGACCTAATGAAAACTTAGTACTGGGAAAGAGCTTAGATTCATGTGGCCTAGTTTTCTTGTATTGCAGGTAGAGATACCAGGAGCTCTTCACTGACTAAACTAATATCACCCAACTGCTAAATGGTGAAGTTAGTTTGTATCCAAGACTAGCAACTGAAAAATCAAGTGATCTTTCCTCTCTGTCAAGCTGTTTATTGCATTTCTCCTCATGTATCTATGTTCAGCCTGATTTGTGTGTGCGGTTAGGAGCAGGGAAGGCGGGACCATACAGGTCAGGACTTTGGTTTTCGATTGAGTGAATAATTATTTCTGACACTTTAATATTGAAATCTGAACAAACCCACAGAGAACAAAGTTTTGCTTTGACTTAGTTTGAAATAAGTATTTTTGCGTCCAATGTAGAAAAGAGGACTCTGCTCACAGAGAGTTCATCTTGTTTACTCTGCAGCCCAGAGGCGGCTTTATTGGAGTGTTAGCCCCTTGGGCAATAGCACTGAATTTCTAGAATTAGCAATGTAAAGCCATTATGGTGTTTTACAGATTCAATATCATTTCAAAATCATACCATCAAGAGAGCTAGTAAGGAATACGTACTCAATGAGTTTATTTAACAAAGTCAGAGCCTGTGTTCAGTGTGCTATCTTCTCTCCATGGGCCAAGGCACTTATGGGCAGTTAGAGGTCCCAGGAGCTGCCATTGCCCTCCAAGGACCAGGGATGCTAACATACTGCTGCTCCAGTGGGCAGTAGAGAGGGACTGGCCCCCCGAGCCTCATCCAGATTCGCCCACTGCCAAGTCACAAGAGTAACTAATGAACAGTCATTGGAATCTGATGAAGGATCTGCAATTTTTTCCTAAATTATCTGAGAACTCCTTGAAACTTTCAAACAAAGATGTAAAATAAACTTTCTGGCTGGATTTCTCTTTTCAGAAGCTGAGAGCTGGCTGTGCCCACTGGCATTGCACCTACTCAGTGGTTTAGGTAGAGGATGACAGGGAAGTGCTGTAGTGTGGGGACTTGAAAGGCAAGGGGGCAGACAGTGTCCCTTCCCCATAAGGGGTTGCCACACTCTGGCATCACTCCTGTGTTCCCTGCCTGTGGCAGAATCCATCAGCCACTCTGGAGAAGATGAATTGAGGGCAGATGTTTCCAAAATCCAGTGGCGCTTCCATACCAACAGTGAAGCCACGTGACTGCACCACCAATTCTGGCAACTGGTAACTGAGTTAAAGGATAATATAAGCAAATGAATTTCCTCCCCATGGCCAGTGGGACTGTGATTGGGTTATGCACAAATTCAGATTGATTTGCTAATATACATTTAGCTGTTCAACTCTGAGCTTAATTACATTACCTCACCAGTCTTCCAGCATGACACATGGAAAATTATGAGGAATAACAAAAAATAGAATGTGAAATAAATCCTGTTAGTCCTAACGCAGTTAGCGCTTTGCAGCAGACATCCATTTTATAGATTCAAGCTGGAGGAATACTAACTCCGAGACGATGACATGGTAACTGAGTTAAGGAAGAGAAAATGTGTTTAACGCTGACCTTTCTTGAAATGTGTCAACCCCAGCCTGATTACTTTGACTTCAGCTGATTAAATTTACTCCTTTCTGCAGATTTGAAACCCTATGTGATGCATTATCATGCAAAGTTGAGTGACAGTAATGGGGACCCTCCTCCTAGGCCCCCAGTTCCTGACAAATCGTTTCCCGAAGTAGCGAAGTATTTATTTTCCTTTATGATAGAAATGTTTCTCTTTAGTTGCTATGAAATTAAGCCTTTGTAATTGGATTTTGGACTCTTTACTTTATGACTCTGCAAATATGAAATTAACCCCATCCCAAGAAATAATAGAGCAGTCTACGTTCTAATGAGATTACCTCCATTTGAGATAATGACTCTGAATTTAATAAATCAAACAAAGCAACAATTAAGGACAGCCATTCTTTCCTCCTCCCCCTCCCAACTGCAGGGGAAGAAAGCAGCCCTCTAAGCATTACAGGTGACAGTTGTCTGAGAGACACAGATCATAATGGGAACTGTTTCTGAGTTGCTTTTCTTTTAAAATATCAACTCTCAACACTCTGAAGGATGGCACTCTTCTAAAAAGTTTCTGGTATCAATTTGGACAACTGAAGAGTGGTTCCTGCAGGGAAGAGGGGGTTCTGTGGTTGTCCAGTGTGAAGACAATTGCCTATAAACTGATTTGTTTTGTTTTCAAATCATCCTCCCTCTTTGTATTTGTTTTGTTGTGTGCCATGAGATAAACAGAAGAATTTCATTCATCCCAGTTGCTTGAAAAGCCCTCACATAAACTTAGACTGTTTAACATCATAGAGATTAAGATTTCTCAATGTCTTTGATTTATTTTTCACGGCACATGTCATGTGACCAGGCACAAGGTCAGGTTCCGATAGTGAGACTGACGCATCCTGTATATACACCAATGTGCATCCTGCCACATGGATTATCATCTAGAAGGAAGGGGCCAAAACCATTGCACACTTCAGTGCTAGAGTGGGTTTCTTACTCAGCTGAAGAAATAATTCTTGGTTGGGAGTGAGTTGCTCACCCAGGGCAGGCGTAGGTGCCTTTCTGCTATTGCCTGTCCTGCTGCAGGCTTCCCAAGGTGGAGCCAAGCAGCTGCAGTGACTCTGACTACACAAAGAAAGGCCTAGCTTGGTCTTCTCCATGAGCATCACTTTTCTGGAACAAACTCCTTCTGGCAACATGCATGCTTATCTTAAAGGACATGTCTACAAATGCACATCTCTCCGGTTTTGAGCCAAATTCACCCTTGTTAGGCCACATTCTGTCCCACAAGGAAAAAACAGTACCATCCCCAAGTCCTTAACCTTTCACTTTGCCTCCATTTTACTGGCAGTCTGGAAGATCTATTTCCCTAAAGTCTACCTGAGGACTCTGATTTGAGTCAGAATGGATGGCTCTGGTGTTGAGTTTTTTCAAAGAGCCAGAAAGCAATCCATTACTCCATACTTTGAGCTGTGCAGGAAGGGTTATCACTGCTTATCACAGTCAGGCATTTTCTCCAGCTGGGAAAGGAGCCGTTGACCCGTATGGGTAAGGATGAATTTTAATCTTCACTTTATACTGCTGATCCATTTTGAACATAACAATGGACTTAATGCCTTTCTAGGACCTCGCTGCTATAACCTTCATCTTGTTTTTCGGTTTCTTAAAATGTCCTAGACCAGGTGGTAGGAGCTCATTAAGGGGTTCTTGGCCACCATTTCTCTGACTTTTTTGGATTTTGACAGAATTCTCATCTGTGTGTGTCAAAATAGTCCAGGATTAACTAGTGTCCTCTTAGCTGATGCATGGGATTGACTGTCAACCAACTCGGGTTTCTTGTATTGGGGTATATTAGAAAACAAAATGTGAGTGTTGGGAGCCACACATTATGTTGTTGCAGATAGACTTGTGTTAGGAGTTAGGTTAGGGTACTAGCATTTTAGACAGAGCTGGAAAATGACCTTCCCCTCCAAGAGTGCATTTCTTCATACTTAATTGTTATCCATAAGTTCATTATAAAAGTTTCCATTTGACTTTCTAAAAGAGAGTTTTTAAATCTAGTCTGTTCCCTCTTTTCCCCTGAGCTGCCAGTTTTCCTCCTGTCTGCTAACTTCCACCTGTCAAGCTCTGCTTAAGTCAGAGCTTACATTATAATAGCATTATGTTTAAGTGCAATTTCTCTCCAAACTGGAAGTTTCTCTTTTATCTTTTTCTCTTTGAACCCTTTCTCAAGCATCCTTGAATTGACTCTGAACTGTGTCCCTTTCCGTGTCTTACTACAACATCAAATATCTGAAAAGATAAAACAACTCAAACCTCTCTCCAGAGTCTACTCACAAAACTACAAAGACATGCCTGGAATGCCTGGTCCTTACATGAGCGGTCCAATGCAATTGATGTAATCAATAAGTAAATGCCAAAACTATAGGCTTTTAATATTTATCTAGAACTGTTCATACATTCATCACTTTTAGACATGAAGTTAGCACAGAAGGAGAACTGCCCTCCCACCCTCCCTCCTTCCTTCCAAAAACATACATGGAATGTCATGAACTGGGAATGATGCAGTGTAAGTGCTCTGTAAAAGTTTGGTTTTTACAAGGCAATGAAAGTTTGCCTGACCAGTAGAAGTCTCAGCCATCTGGAGGGTGGTGGAGTCTGAGTACTTTAAATGCTTTTGTCACACTTGGTCTATGCCATGGGCACAACTGGGCATTTTGTTCCATTGATGGTTTCTCTTCTTTTCCTGAAACCTTCATCTTTTCCCATCAGTTGAGAAGTCAATTTTTCTTACTATTGCTCCTCATCTAACAGTCACACCCCTGCTTGCACAGAGGAGATAAAGAATAATAGGCTGCTCCTGGGGCCTCAGCCCTGGGAACAGGACAGCCATTCCTGAGCCTGTGACAGAGTCTCCTGCACACAGAAGAGATGTCTATTCAACTCAGATAGGGAGTTAACGTGCTGTTCCACAGCAGAGAGTAAGTCAGCTGTGGTTCCTGCTCTCCTGCAGCCCCAGTCTGGTGGACAGGTGAGAACAATTTTCAAGCAACTGCAGTAGTGTGATGAGAATTTTGATCAGGTAATGAGAGGGGACTGTGTGAATACTGGCCCCACAGTGAGTGTGAGCCTGGGGTATGAGAGTGCATTCCACTCAAGAAGCACTCAGTTAGATCAACCCTACCAGGCAGTGTGGGATTTACAGCAGACATTTGAATAAACGTATGTGTGGGAAAATCTAAAACTAAAGCTCAAGGGAACAAGACTTGATTTCGCGATGTTTCAGAAAATCCTTTAACCTGCAGGTCTAACTTGGGGTGTAGTCCAGTAGCACGGAGTCCATGGACGCTGGACGCACGCACACGGTATGGACCTGCCTCCCGGAGTTCACTCACTCATTTTATCTGCTTGGTGTTTCAGTCCCTGCTCCGGATCCTGGAGACCCCCAAGGGCCGTGCTGCGTTCAGAGTTTCCAGTGGGTTCAACGGGTTGCTGTCCTTGCTCTCCGACCTGGAGGGGTCTCTTCATGAGCCTCCACTGCAGATGTGGGGGGCCGTGACCCCCAGCCAGACCCTGGAGCTGGTGCTGCACACACTCTGTGCGGTGTCTGCGGCGCTGCACCTGGACCCTGTCAACGGGGACTTCTTCAGAAGGAACGGGCTCTTTGAGAAGCTGGCCGAGGACCTCTGCCTGCTGGGCTGTTTTGGGGCTCCAGAGGAAGAGGGCGCGCCTCCACGCTCCTGGTCTGACACAAAGGTCAGGCCGTTTGCAGATTTGCTGAGCTCTGCCTTTTCCACCAGCTGCCCCTTCCCATCCAGGATACAAAGTTCCCTCCAGATCCTCAGCTTTCTGGACAGCATGGTTAGCGGCACCCTCCACCTGCGCAGGGACCTGAAGGAGTCCCTAAGGGCCGGACAGGAGCTGGTTGTGAATGCGCAGAAGGAAGACGCTGGCCGTGACCTCCATGGCAACGTCAGACAGTGGCCAGACCGCGAGGAGAGGTAGAGCTCTGCTGCTTTCTTCTGCTGTGGGGCCACCAGTGCATCTCTGGGCCGGGTTCATTTCTTACCCAAACATTCTGCGCAGGTGTAGTAGGCGGGAAGACTAAGATACAGCTTGGGTGCGAAGAAGTCCTCTGTGACTTGTCTTTAAGTCAGGTTAGCTCTGACTCCAAGTTCCTCTATCTTGGGAGCTGGCAGATGATTCAGTCTAAGTCAAAGGGGTGGAGGCCGTTGATTTTCTAAAAGAGTCTGCAAGGCCTGTAGGATGCCAGAAGCCAAGGGCAGGACCCTGCCTGCTCCTAAGAGGGTGCTGCTTGGGTCAGGCCTCCCCCGGTGTGCCTTACAGACTTGTCCTTTGGCGGCCTTGTCTCCTCCCCAGGGCAGTGCGAGAGGGATTGTGGGGGATGGGCTCCTTTCATTCCATTTGCAGGACACAAACCACAGTGTCCATCCCAATCAGGGGACTCTTCCTGTTCTTTCTTCCTGCTTCCACTTGCTCCATCAAAGACAATCACTCCTCTCACTTCTGCAGGCCAGACTCCTCAACAGGCTCAGACTTTTGAAAAAAACTTTTCACTTTTATATCTGTAAAATAAATGCCACTAAAACTAGGGAGCACAAAGCGCCATCCCTGCCCCACACTGAAACTAGGGAGCACAAAGCGCCATCCCTGCCCCACACTGAAACTAGGGAGCACAAAGCGCCATCCCTGCCCCATCCATGTCCAGGTGGGAGGGAAAAGGAAAGATCGCAGCCATAGTTCATCTTTTTCCCCTTCATCCCACTAAGGCAACAAGGACCATTAATATTGCAATAAATTAGCCTTCTGAAAGATACCGTGCAGGTTTATCTAGAGAGTCTCATTTGCCAGACTTCAATGCTGGCTGCTGATGGTGAGGGATGGGTGTGAAATCCACGCTTATCAAGATGATCAGAAGTTGTTTTTTTGTAAATTAGTTGGTTGTCTGCTCTTGCATTCCTGCACAAACCAAGTTGCTCAGGATATATTCATTTGAAAAGGATTTTTGCCTCCTTTTTAAACTTTTAGAAGACTTTGGCCTTTCATATTCTTTCTTGACTGCTCTTACTGTCAAATTTATGCGAGCCTATTAGCACCAGTTTCACAGTGCTCCTTTTCTGTTCTCTGGAAGAGACTCTATGTAAAGACTATTTCTAGGCCGTTCAAGCCAGTAAAACACTGTAAGCCTGGTATTTTCTTGTGAGATTTATTTTTGTGAGAATAAATTTCTATTTATTCTTGATCATTCTTGGTGAGTTATCTTCTAAACCTTTTCCTCTCATTTCATCCATGCTTCAATTTATGGGCAAGAAGGCCTCTCATGTCTTCTTTTTTTCCACATCTTATATATATATATATGTGTATATATATATATATATATATATATATATATATTCTTTTATTTTTTATATTTTTTTTATTATTCATATGTACATACAAGGCTTGGGTCATTTCTCCCCCCTGCCCCCACCCCTCCCTTACCACCCACTCCCCCTCCCTCTCCCCCCCCTCAATACCCAGCAGAAACTATTTTGCCCTTATTCTCTAATTTTGTTGAGAGAGAGTATAAGCAATAATAGGAAGGAACAAGGGTTTTTGCTGGTTGAGATAAGGATAGCTATACAGGGATTGACTCACATTGATTTCCTGTGCGTGGGTGTTACCTTCTAGGTTAATTCTTTTTGATCTAACCTTTTCTCTAGTTCCTGGTCCCCTTTTCCTATTGGCCTCAGTTGCTTTTAAGGTATCTGCTTTAGTTTCTCTGCGTTAAGGGCAACAAATGCTAGCTAGTTTTTTAGGTGTCTTACCTATCCTCACCCTCCCTTGTGTGCTCTCGCTTTTATCATGTGCTCAAAGTCCAATCCCCTTGTTGTGTTTGCCCTTGATCTAATGTCCACATATGAGGGAGAACATACGATTTTTGGTCTTTTGGGCCAGGCTAACCTCACTCAGAATGATGTTCTCCAATTCCATCCATTTACCAGCGAATGATAACATTTCGTTCTTCTTCATGGCTGCATAAAATTCCATTGTGTATAGATACCACATTTTCTTAATCCATTCGTCAGTGTGGGGCATCTTGGCTGTTTCCATAACTTGGCTATTGTGAATAGTGCCAATAAACATGGGTGTGCAGGTGCCTCTGGAGTAACCTGTGTCACAGTCTTTTGGGTATATCCCCAAGAGTGGTATTGCTGGATCAAATGGTAGATCAATGTTTAGCTTTTTAAGTAGCCTCCAAATTTTTTTCCAGAGTGGTTGTACTAGTTACATTCCCACCAACAGTGTAAGAGGGTTCCTTTTTCCCCACATCCTCGCCAACACCTGTTGTTGGTGGTGTTGCTAATGATGGCTATTCTAACAGGGGTGAGGTGGAATCTTAGTGTGGTTTTAATTTGCATTTCCTTTATTGCTAGAGATGGTGAGCATTTTTTCATGTGTTTTTTGGCCATTTGAATTTCTTCTTTTGAGAAAGTTCTGTTTAGTTCACTTGCCCATTTCTTTATTGGTTCATTAGTTTTGGGAGAATTTAGTTTTTTAAGTTCCCTATATATTCTGGTTATCAGTCCTTTGTCTGATGTGTAGCTGGCAAATATTTTCTCCCACTCTGTGGGTGTTCTCTTCAGTTTAGAGACCATTTCTTTTGATGAACAGAAGCTTTTTAGTTTTATGAGGTGCCATTTATCTATGCTATCTCTTAGTTGCTGTGCTGCTGGGGTTTCGTTGAGAAAGTTCTTACCTATACCTACTAACTCCAGAGTATTTCCTACCCTTTCCTGTATCAACTTTAGAGTTTGTGGTCTGATATTAAGATCCTTGATCCATTTTGAGTTAATATTGGATCTAGTTTCAGTTTTTTGCAGACTGCTAACCAGTTTTCCCAGCAGTTTTTGTTGAAGAGGCTGCTATTTCTCCATTGTATATTTTTAGCTCCTTTGTCAAAGACAAATTGGTTATAGTTGTGCGGCTTCATATCTGGGTCCTCTATTCTGTTCCACTGGTCTTCATGTCTGTTTTTGTGCCAGTACCATGCTGTTTTTATCGTTATTGCTTTGTAATATAGTTTGAAGTCAGGTATCGTGATACCTCCAGCATTGTTCTTTTGACTGAGTATTGCCTTGGCTATTCGTGGCCTCTTGTGTTTCCATATAAATTTAATAGATTTTTCAATCTCTTTAATGAATGTCATTGGAATTTTGATGGGAATTGCATTAAACATGTAGATACTTTTGGGAGTATCGACATTTTTACTATGTTGATTCTACCAATCCATGAGCATGGGAGATCTCTCCACTTTCTATAGTCTTCCTCAATCTCTTTCTTCAGAAGTGTATAGTTTTCCTTGTAGAGGTCTTTCACATCTTTTGTTAGGTTTACACCTAGGTATTTGATTTTTTTTGAGGCTATTGTAAATGGAATTGTTTTCATACATTCTTTTTCAGTTTGCTCATTGTTAGTGTATAGAAATGCTAATGATTTTTCTATGTTGATTTTATATCCTGCTACTTGCTATAGCTATTGATGATGTCTAGAAGCTTCTGAGTAGAGTTTTTTGGGTCTTTAAGGTATAGGATCATGTCGTCTGCAAATAGGGATATTTTGACAGTTTCTTTACCTATTTGTATTCCTTTTATTCCTTCTTCTTGCCTAATTGCTCTGGCTAGGAATTCCAGTACTATGTTGAATAGGAGTGGAGATAGTGGGCATCCTTGTCTGGTTCCTGATTTTAGAGGGAATGGTTTCAGTTTTTCTCCGTTAAGTATAATGCTGGCTGTAGGTTTGTCATATATAGCTTTTATAATGTTGAGGACTTTCCTTCTATTCCTAGTTTTCTTAGAGCTTTTATCATGAAATGGTGTTGGATCTTATCAAAGGCTTTTTCTGCATCTATTGAGATGATCAAGTGGTTTTTGTCTTTGCTTCTGTTAATGTGGTTTATTACGTTTATTGATTTTCGTATGTTGAACCACCCCTGCATCCTGGGATGAAGCCTACTTGGTCGTGGTGAATAATCTTTTTGATGTGTTGTTGAATTCGGTTTGCCATTATTTTGTTGAGGATTTTTGCATCAATGTTCATTAAGGAGATTGGCCTATAGTTCTCCTTTTTGGAGGTGTCTTTGCCTGGTTTTGGGATAAGTGTAATACTGGCTTCATAAAATGTGTTTGGCAGTTTTCCTTCCCTTTCTATTTCATGGAACAGTTTAAGGAGGGTTGGTATCAGTTCTTCTTTAAAGGTCTGATAGAATTCAGCAGAGAATCCATCAGGTCCTGGACTTTTCTTTTTGGGGAGACTCTTGATTGCTGCTTCAATTTCATTTTGTGTTATAGATCTATTCAGGTGATTAATTTCCTCTTGGTTCAGTTTTGGATGATCATATGTATCTAGAAATCTGTCCATTTCTTTAAGATTTTCAAATTTATTTGAATATAGGTTCTCAAAGTAGTCTCTGATGATTTCCTGGACTTCCATGGTGTTTGTTGTTATCTCCCCTTTTGCATTCCTGATTCTACTAATTTGGGTTTTTTCTCTCCTCATTTTAGTCAGGTTTGCCAGGGGTCTATCGATCTTGTTTATTTTTTCAAAGAACCAACTTTTTGTTTCATTAATTCTTTGTATGGTTTTTTTGGTTTCTATTTCATTGATTTCAGCTCTTATTTTTATTATTTCTCTCCTTCTATTTGTTTTGGGATTTGCTTGTTCTTGTTTTTCTAGGAGTTTGAGATGTATCATTAGGTCATTGATTTGGGATCTTTCAGTCTTTTTAATATATGCACTCATGGCTATAAACTTTCCTCTCAGGACTGCCTTTGCTGTGTCCCATAGGTTCCGGTAGGTTGTGTTTTCATTTTCATTGACTTCCAGGAACTTTTTAATTTCCTCTTTTATTTCATCAATGACCATTGTTCATTAAGTAATGAGTTATTTAGTTTCCAGCTGTTTGCATGTTTTTTGTCTTTACTTTTGTTGTTGAGTTCTA